AACAGAAATTTAAAAAATTGCGTGATGGTTCCTATATAGGTTACCGAAAGAGTTGACGGATGTATTTTATTATGTCATAATAAAATACATCCGTCAACTCTTTCGGTAACTTATATAGGAATCATCACGCATTTTAAATACTGCAGTGCGCTTGTGGACAGTTCCGGTGGAGTTGCGCAATAGGCATACAAAGTAGTAAATGGAGCCTCGTTAAGCCAGTCAATGTCACATTGGCAATCCAATTTGCAACCTGTAATGCAAATTACAGTGTAAGTGTGAGCTTTTCAAGTTCGCAGAATGCACATAGCATGCAGCTTTACAGGTAATTCCACCCACGTAGTTCTTCGCTGCGGACGATTGTTGCGTACGTGACGATACGTGCACGCGTATAAATGTACAATTAATACACGAAGTGTGACAAAACAAACCACATTTAATAAATAAACAAAATTTTAACTACAAAGAACGACCACACTTGCCTCCTAGATTAACGGTCACTTTATGCGATGTGAGTTCAGTCAGATTAAACACGTCCTTGTCGATAGATGTCAAAACCTGGCAGTTTCCATGGATTGCCAATGATCAACTATATCACTTTGGCGGGCAACGAGCGAATCTTTGTAGATGCTTATTATCAAGAGCGTATAAAGAAGACCTTCTTTAAGAAAGAATACCTTTTTTATAAAGAAGACCTTCTTTATACGCTCTTGTTATTATTCGAGGTACTGCCGTGGTTGTGTGTCGAAGATAGTCTAGTAACGTCACCACATCGACTTAGTCATTAATCTTATATATTCCATATTGTTTGCCTGTATATTATATTGCACCATTCTGTCGATGAAATCATTGTTAATTTTTTATTATATTTTCACACCAGGAAATTTGGATTGGCGGTAGTAATTTAAGCTTCATCGAACCATAATGCTTTTCGGCTGTGTTTACGCTCTTACAATACCACGTATCACTGACTCGACTACGGGTGTCTGAACGTACATTCACGCTACTCAGTCCTCTGAATATGCCAGGTTTGATGGTGACGAGGTTGTTGGCAGATATCTGAACTGTTCTTGCTGCCGCTGCGCCCTCAAAGGCTCCAACAGCAACGCTCGAAATCCGGTTGTATTCAAGGTGTATGAACTCAAGGTTCTTGAGGCCGGCAAAAGTTCCTGCTGAGACCGTGTACAGATGGTTGAACTCGAGACGTAGTGTTGTGATTTCATCTATATCTTTGAATGTTCCCGGTGCAATATACTCGATGGCATTATACGACAAATCGAGGAACTGTGGAAGCGTAAATAAATAAATGAATAAATAAATAAATAAATAAATAAATAAAAACAATCAATAAATAAAAATTAAATAAAAAACAAATAAATGTATACATACGCACGTGCGTATGCATCCACTTACTCACGCACGCTTGCACGCACGCACGCACGTACGCACACACGCCCGCACGCACACACGCCCGCACGCACAGACGCACGCGCGCACGAACTCAAACGCACACACACACACACACACACACACACACACACGCGCGCGCGCGCACACAACACGCGCACGCACGCACGCACACGTGTGCGTGCGTGTGCGTGTGTATATATATATGGGATATAGATATCCACTGTCTCTACCGGGTATATCCACAGTAGGACTTTAGGGATAGGATTTACCTGGAGTTTCTTCAGACCCCGCAGCGCCTGAGGGGAGATGTAGAAAATCGCGTTATTGGACAAGTATAAGGTAGTCAGATTGCTAGCGTCCATCAAGCAACCGTCGTCTAATTTCTCAAAGTGGTGTATGCTATTTGCAGATATTCTGAAAACAAACGGAGGACGACAAATTAGAATCGAGCGCAGTGCGAACGCTCATGACACCATGAAAGCGTAAAAGTCTGGCATAGACGGATACAAATATACTCAAGCCTGGCATAGGCGGAAGAAAACAGAAAACATACCCAAGCCTGGCATAGTTGAGAAAATCTGGCATGGTATTGCGGTCAACGCCGTCTCCTCTACGATCAAGGAACGAAGCCCTCCGATTCCAGCGAACGCGTCTGCGTGTATAGTGGTCAGCTTTTCTCCGTAGTCCAGGATTATAATGTCGATGGTTAAGCCGGCGAACGCTCCACCGGGTATCTGCTCAAAGCCGAAGTTCGTTATTGTGAACGAGAAGATCGTCGTCGGTCGTGGAATCTCAGCGATGATGTCAAACACTTGCAAACCGTCTCCAGGTAGTAAGTTAACATCGCAGATGATGTACGCGCCATAACTACGCTCTTCGCAGGTGCATGGATACAGGCTGGAGGCGGAGGGGCAGTCGCCAGCTCTCGCGCCTCCCGCTAGCAGGATAACAGCGAAAATCAGAAGAATACTCATGACTATCGATATGAAGGCTACGTTCGGCGGGGATCGGTTTAAATAGGTAATTCGTGTGAACCGAGACAGCTGCTGCTTGTTCCGGGTTGCAATTATAGCCCCTTATCTAATGTCACTTGTGTCAACAAAGTCAACGCGTGTCATATAAAACGATATTTCAAATACGTGATAAGCACTGCGGATGGAACCCGCCACAGCTGACGTTAGATACAATCATAGACTGTGTGACGTAATTCTTGCAAATAAAGATGAAATGATTAAAACCGAAAATCGCCGCCATGACACGAACGGTAAGAGGAGTGTGTGAGGCGATACAGGAACACCTTCATGTAAATGTTAAATTATTTTTCTTATCGCAACTCTATATGTGAACTGATCGAGACATATGCAGCTGTCATTTGTTCGATTATAGACGTAGCAATATTACGACTATACTATATTACTACATTATAATTATATATGCACTTACTTTTGCTTGTGACAAGGCGCGGCACGGCAAGGCACAATCTATCACTATATATTATCAGGGGTAAATAATCTCAAAGAGAAATTGGTTACACCCATAGAAACAATATAGTAGACTCTATATATTTCTTTTTAAACACACACACGCGCGCGCGTTTTTTTCTTATCATAACTCTATATGTGAACTGATCGAGACATATGCAGCTGTCATTTGTTAGATTATAGACGTAGCAATATTACGGCTACTATATTACTACATTATAATTATATATGCACTTAGTTTTGCTTGTGACAAGGCGCGGCACGGCAAGGCACAATCTATCACTATATATATTATTCGGGGTAAATAATCTCAAAGAGAGACACCCATAGAAACAATATAGTAGACTCTATATATTTATGGGAAATGATTAGACCTCTCAAAACCTAAAAATGTTCGTTCTGTGTTGCAGTTTTGAACACGTCGCACAAAAGTTTGAACACTAAACAGGGCGACGTAGTATATCTGGTTAGAGAANAGATAGTGCTGACTCAATTAAACAGATAATAGAACTAAGAAAAAACGTTTAAACTGTGCGAACGAATGCGAATACAACTAGCGTAGGTCGAGTTAATCATAAAACTTAATTATACAAGACGTAATGAATAACACAACTAGGAACGCAACCGATGTAAGGCCCCCCCACACGGTGCGAATTCGGCGCGCACCAACGGCGCTGCGCTAAACGCGCGCGCCATATGCTCACGTAAACCTATATATGCGTAAACCAGCTAGCACGCGGTGCGCATTTGGTGCGCGCCGAATTCGCATCATATGCGGCGGGGGGGGAGCTTTTTAAACACACACACACGCGCGCGCGTTTTTTTCTTATCGTAACTCTATATGTGAACTGAGACATATGCAGCTGTCATTTGTTCGATTACAGACGTAGCAATATTACTGCTACTATCTAACTACATTATAATTATATATGCACTTAGTTTTGCTTGTGACAAGGCGCGGTATGGCAAGGCACAATCTATCACTATATATTATCAGGGGTAAATAATCTCAATAAGAGATTGGTTACACCTAAAGAATAAATATAGTAGCGTTCATATATTTCTTTTTAAACACACACACGCGCGCGCGTTTTTTTCTTATCGTAACTCTATATGTGAACTGATCGAGACATATGCAGCTGTCATTTGTTCGATTATAGACGTAGCAATATTACTGCTACTATATTACTACATTATAATTATATATGCACTTAGTTTTGCTTGTGACAAGGCGCGGCACGGCAAGGCACAATCTATCACTATATATTATCAGTGGTTAGTGGTAAATAATCTCACAGAGAGACACCCATAGAAACAATATAGTACTCTATATATTTCTGGAAAATGATTAGACCTCTCAAAACCTAAAAGTGTTTGTTCTGTGTTGCAGTTTTAAACACGTCGCACAAACGTTTTAACACTAAACAGGGCGACGTAGTATATCTGGTTAGAGGATCTATTTAGAATTTGTGTCATTTAATTAGATAGAGTAGATCGTGGTAGATCATATGGGTAAGCCATTGCACTTACAAGGACAATATTTCGCGTTAAAAATTATGTGACAAACAAAATGTTGCAATAAGAAAATGTAAAAATCTTGAACTTAGAAAAATCGTAATTATTGCGTTATTGATCAAAAATAATGCAGTCGACAGGATTCGAACCTGTGCGAGGAGACCCCAACTGATATCTAGTCAGTCGCTTTACGGTACGGTACCAGTCAGTACCAATCCGCCCCGACTGCCAACATATACTTCCGTGAAACACGCCTCATTCACTTGGCTAATATTCAAGTCGGTGTAAATCACTATATCTTGTCCATAATTTTCAAGATTGTGTACATGTTAACGGGATAGGCAAGGAAATACATTTTAATCAGGTATTTAAAGCCATATATATATATATATATATATAGAGAGAGAGAGAGAGAGAGAGAGAGAGAAAAGTGTGTGTGTGTGACACAGAGAAAGACACAGAGTCAGAGTCAGACGGAGACAGAGGGAGCGTGAGAACCAGACTACGAGACAGAGATGGAGAGAGAGAAAGAAGAACAGAGAGTGCAACAGTGCGCGCGAGAGAGACAGACACACGCACACACGCACGCACGCACGCACGCACGCACGCACGCACACACACACACACACACAGAAAGAGAAAGAGAGAGAGAGAGGGAGGGGGAAGAGACAGACAGAGAGAGAGAGAGAGA